TATTATTTCCTAAACTTTTACTATGAGATATAAAATGTATTCCGCAAAAATATCTACTAGGTGTCTAGAGAAAATTATCATTTCTCAGTACTATTACAATGTAATATATGTGAGAATGGGTGTCAATCTTATGTCTATATTTGCAGTTACCCATGTTTGCCATTTTACCAATGCATTTGGCACTGTAAAAACATTATGTAATTCTTTGAACCCATATAATTTGTCCAAGAATTCATGTAAAGATGAAATTGATTGTAATGATTGGATATTATACTCTCTACAAAGCAATATCCATTGTATATCCTTAGACAACAGCATGCATTGAGGTGAGTTTTCTGTCATTAAATTTTATGGTGGTTTAAAGACTATGGACAATAGAGTAGAGATTCCAAGGCAGTTGTGTAGAACTCCAAAATTGTTTAACTAAAGATAGCAGAAAAAATAGATTCCAGTTCCTTGGGTTGTCAAATTTAGCAGTAAAACAATTTATAACAAACGAGGATTCTACATGAGTTTATGTCCAAGCCAGGAACTTCTGTGTGTTCCCTTAATACATTCTCAGTAAAGAAGTGAGGGCCCAGCTATACCGAGTCATATCGAGTTTCCCTTGATTTTTCTGGCCTCTTTAAGTATATCCTACCCTCGTTCTAAAATGGTCTGGATTATTGTGGTCGCTACTCTTGAAGTTGAGGCCACACACTTCTATAGTGAAAAGTTAGTTTTGTATATTTTTTAGATCATTATGTGATCATAATACCCCTCTGTCTGTTTGTGTACAAATATCTCCGTCTCAGCCTTGAATACCCTTTGCAATATTATAAAATTTTGTGAATATGACCTACTTATTAAAAGCTAAAAATTTTGTTGGTTTGCATTTCCCTGAATGCTAAGATGTTGAGCACTTTTTGATGTGTCTTTCAGCCATTTAACATTCCTCTGTTGAGAAATCTGTATTTACTTCTGTATCCCACATTTTAATTTGATTATTTGGTGTTTTGGAAACTGGATTCTTTTATTCTTTGTAAATTTTGGAGTTCAGCCCTCTGTCACATATAGGGTTTGTTAATATAATTTCCCATACTGTGACCTGCCATTTTTATTGCAGACTATTTCCTTTACCTTACAGAAGCTTCTGTTTGTGTTTGGGAAATAGTAGATGAGAGCAAAATAAGAGACACTATTCGAGATGGAGACAGAATAGGGCTAATGAGAAATCAGGCACTAGGGAAATGTCTGGTGATCTATAAGGATAACACCAACTACCAATCTAATCAACAGTGGGGAGGCTAACATATAACGAATCCGTGAGCCTTCATCCAGCAGCTGATGGAAGTAGAAGCAGACTCCCACAACTAAACCCTGAACTGAACTTTAATATTTCTACAAAGAAGGCAGAGTAATGAGCAAAGTGGTCAAGAACAGGCTGGTGAAACCCAGAGAAACAGTCGAACTGAACAAGAGGGATGACTTGGCCCCCAGAGTGATCACTGGGAAGCCAGCATGGAACTGATCCAGACCCAGTGAATGAAGGTGTCAGTGAAGATTTTAATTTCCTAAGGCATGTGCCATTGTACAATTTTGAATGTCCCCGTACAATGGTGGTGTTTCTAACAATAAGTCAGTGACAACAAGTTTGGCATTTCCAAACAACTGGAATAATTAACCAACATGAGCATATCCAATATCACTAAATATAGTCTGAGAAGGACTTGCTGCAAATCTTTTATTACTAGATATTCTAATATACGTGAAGTGAAAACCTATTGTGTATTCTCTATTTCTTTACATCACTTTTTAATTGGATTAATTGGTGTTTTGGTGATTCATTACTTCAGTCCTTTGTATATTTTAGAAATCAGCCATTTGCTAGATGTGTAGTTGGTGAAGATCCTTTAGCATTCTGTAGTTGCTGTCTTGTCTTGACTATATCTTTTGCCTTATAGAAACATCTCAGCTTCAGGAGGACCCAATACTGAAATATCAATCTGATTGTCAGTTCTACTGTCATGTTCTGGTAGTGGTCTGCTGCACTAATTCAATACTACCTCCCAATTACTCTGCTAAGAGTTTCAGTGTTGCTGGATTTATATTGAAATCTTCATTCCATTCAAAATTTATTTTGGTTAATAGAGGAATCTAAAATAATGAAAAGACACTAAACATCTGTAGCCATTATGGAAATGAAAATTGTAAAAACTCTGAAAAATCATCTTACACCTGCCAGAATGGTTACATAAAAAATGACATCGACAGTTTATGCTGAAGAGGATGTGGAGTATGAAGAATGCTTCCCTGTTGCTTCTGGAAGTGAAAAATTGGACAACCTTTTTCACAGTCTGAATAGAAGTTTCTCTGAATATTTGGTATCATTCTACTTCACTTTCTTGCAAATCCACACTTTGGCACATACCCAAATGATGTACATTTATACGATATGGACATCTGTACAGCCAAGTTCATAACTGCAATATTTGTAATAGCAATATTCAGAAAAAGCCAAGATGACCCTGGACTAAAGAGTGGATAAAGAAAATGTGATACAGTTAATCAACGAAGTACTACTAATTGGAAAAGGAAAAAAATGAAACAAATGGATGGAACTAGAAGAAACCATCCAGAATGAAGTAACACACATACAGAAAGACAAATGTGTATGTACTTACTTACCTAAGGATATTAGACTTAGAAATAAAGATAAATAGTGACCTGAAATCCTGGAAATAAGTGTCAGACAGGGAAGAATGATAAGCAAATGGGGCATTACCAGGCTGGACAAACCAGGAGAAACATCTGATCTGACCAAGTGGGAACTCATCCAACCTATTATGACAAATGGGGAACCATCATAGTACCAAAACTGCCCTTCTTAATATAGGTGACCCTTGTGAAATGTGGGAAGTCTATGGGCCTTGGCAGTGTAATCAGTATTTATTTCTAGCACTTGAATGGACTTTAGGACTCCGTTCCCTATGGAGGGCTACTCTGTCATTCAAGATT